GAGAGAGATGGCAACCCAAGAGGCCCAGTGGTACAAGATGGCGCAGGAGCGCAACGAGAAGGCGATGCAGGAGATGGCGGAGGCGGAGTACCAGGAGAGATGCGCCCGCCACAGCGCTTATAAGGAGGAGGAGCTGCGGATCGCAGTGAACTATCAGCAGATGGCCCACGAGCATCAGGAAGAAGCCAACAAGCGCGAAGCGATGCGGGTCGTCCTGAACCTGGAGCACGCAGCCATCCAGGCGAAGGCATACGAGATGCAGCACGAGCAGGACAGGTATCTGGAGCGCGTCGGCGAGCACCAGGAGGAGGTGGACAAAGCCCAAAGGATGGAAGAGGTGGCACTGCAGCGACAAACAGCAGCCACAAGCGAACTCCATGCATTACAGCAGCAGCAGGAGATGGAGAACCAAGCGGCGCACCAGTACCACAGTACACTGCAGCACCAGTGCCAGCAGGAGATGCAGGCCATCGCGCAGCACTACGCCCACAACCATCAGATGAACGAAGCGCAGAGGCAGCAGCAATTACAAGAACTCCAACGGGCACATGATTTGCAAACGGCTGGACTCCAGACTGCACTACGGGAGGCTTGGGGAGCAGGAGGACAAGTGGACGAGGACCTGCTAATCGACATGACGGAGGACCTCATGGGAGACACAGCCACGAGCGAGCGTGACCAAGGCATGGCGGACCAGGAGGGCGCGTACCAGAGGGAGCAACTTGAGGCAGACTTACTTCGGCTGCTACCTAGCCAGTACGAACTTCCACATCCAGAACTGCCGCCGTACCTCGAGGAGCTGGCCGAGGTGGGATTTGGAGAGAGGTCCCATACATCGTCTATGCCAACGCCAGAGGAGCCTACCCCCTCGTCGAGCGACGACCTCAGCTTCCAGAACCAAAGCTTTGTGCCGAGGACATCCGCCGAAGAGTGGCCGCTCCCCCCACCACCACCTCAGCAGCGCCAGCACATCGAGGAGTACAACAGGGTCGGCTCCTCCTCGCACTCAGGGATGCTCGAGGTACGGGCGAGCAGCGATTGCATCCCAATTGGCGAATCCGACGACGCTGACCTGCTGGACGAAGAGTGGAAGAACCGTCAAGGCCTGAGCAAGGAGAAGGAGGGCGAAGCCCCGACAGACCTCGCCTCACTCTCACCAACGATACCAGCCGACTCACCCATCCCGACGGAACAGCCCACGCCAAGACACATACTGTTTCCGCCCGTCACGCCTCTCACGCCACACAAAGCCCCACAACAGCGTTCACAGACGGCCAAGACTCCCATGACGACGCTGTTCATCGACCTCAGCCGCGACGAGGAGGATTGCC